TTAGAGGCCACATGCCAGTGCACTGGGCTTTCAATAGACACTTTCATGCTTACATTTTTCAAATGTCTGAATCATTGCACTTTCAAGGGCTTTCTTTTCTACCAGGACATTTTCCAAGTCATTCCCAGTGAAGTCTTCAGCAGCTGGACCACCATCATTTGCCAGATATCCATGTCCCACACAGTATTCAGAATGGTGTCCTCCCATACGCAGTGGCAGGCAAGTAAGAAAGTTCAAAATCCCATCTGATAACCTTTTCCTGTGACCATTTTTGGAACAACATGGATTTGTTTGAGTCCTCCAAGAAGCAGATGACAAGATGTCAGATTTATTGTAGAAAACAGTGAAGAAAAATTAGAGGCCAGGGGAGACTGGGAGACCCTGAGTCGGGGAGACCATGAGACCCTGTGAAAGAGGGAAGGGAGTTTGAAAAAGAGGCATCCCAAATGTCAGTGCAGTTCTGACAGGGTCAGCAGGGCTGAAGAGGAGTCCTGGAGTCTAAACTGTAAAAATGACCCAGGCACAGAATCCCTGCAGCTCTTGCTGGTTGGGAGTAGCTGGTGAGAGTTATAGCCTGAGCATGAACTCACAGGGGTGATTTTAAAGTTGGGACCACATTGGAGCTAGGGATGTAGCTCAGTGTGTAAAGCCCTGGGTTCAAATCCCAGTACTGTATGATCTATAAATAAAATTTAAAAATAAAGTTGAGATCAGTTACTTTCCCTGTAGTAGATCACAAAAAAGACACAATGTCCTTTACCCGCATGCTTTGAAGTAAATAAAGAGGAATGGGATACTCAGGTGGTGACACTCCTCTTCTGAATACATTAACACATTACACTTTCCTGTAAAATTATAATTCCTCCCAGTGATGGGAAAAGAACAGGTTCAAAAACAAAAGACCAAAAGATTGTACATCTAAGTGCATAAGACACAGTAAATCTTCATACTATTAGAGGAAGCCAGGTACAGAGGTTGAGGCAGGAACATTGTAAGCTTGAATTCAGCCAGAATAGCTGTTTTTGTTTTTGTTTTTTTAAAATATTTTTTAGTTATAGATGGACACAATACCTTTATTTTATTTATTTATTTTATGTGGTGCCGAGGATCAAACTCAGTGCCTCACACATGCTAGGCAAGTGCTCTGCCATTGAGCCACAACCCCCAGCCCTCAGCCAGGACAACTTAAAAACAAGAAATGCAAAGGCCTAGGGATGTAGCTTGGTAGTAGAGAACCCTTGGTGTTCAATCCTCAGTACCAAACCAAATCGAACCAAACCAACCAAACAAAAAAGGATACTATTAGAGGAAGACAAACAAAAATATCAAATTATGGATTATGTTAAAGGAGATTAATGTCATAGAAAAATAGAAAGCTATAGACAGTATATAAAGGGGCTAAATGGAACATGTAGGGGTGGAGAAACAGCTTGTGATTTCAAAACAGGTTCAGAGTTTTCCTCTTTGATAAAGTGACATTGAGAGACTTAGATAGTTTACCTCGGGAACATTGGGAGAATGATCATTCCAACCAAAGATAAGACCCTAAGGTGAGATAATATTTGGCTGCTTAAGAAACAGGAAGGGTAGGGTGGTTGGAGGTGAGGCAAGAGATAAGGAGGACAAAACATAGATAAGGTATAGGAGGTCATTACAAGGACAGGTTTTCTTTCTGAATGAAATGTGATCTTTGGGAGGGTTTAATGAGAAGAATGTGGTGAGCTGATTTGTATTTCTAAAGATCTTTTCATATATACAAATAAGTATTTTCCCAAGGTTGAACCCAGGAGTGCTCCACCACTGAGTTATATCCC